GTACTTAAAATGTGGACACCGGGTGTCTTCACGCAACATTGGGCCGGAACGGTAGTGACTGGAGCTCTGCGTCCATCGCAAGGGAAATTAGTCACAAAATTTGTAATCTAGGGACGCGGCCTTTCACACTGCAGGGAATCCGTACCTTTGGAAACCGCAACGAGTTTATCGCGATCGCATCATTAACTATTTTTTCTTTGTCGACAGTGGCCGATGACGGTTCAAAGAGTTTCTGCTGTCTCTGATGATTTTAGTATTGGTGACTGATACATTAGTTTGTACCACGGTAAGATCCACTTTAACGAGAGTATTCTTTATTACGCATGGTTATTATTTAGTTTACTTTTTGAAATACTTTTTTATTTTAATGTTATATTGTTAGTATTAAAATATATTTATAGTTTATACTTATTTATTTTTATGAAAATAATATTTCTCAATATTCATCAGCATTAGCTCTCAAATAATGTAATAAAGTTATTATTTTTTCAGAAAATATCATAATAATATCATTGAATGTTTGGAGTAAAAATGATCTAGCACTCAGTCCAAACAGTTATGGTAATTCATTTAAAAGTTTTAACAGAATCTAAAACAACATGAATTTTACCTTCGGTGTTAATCCGAACTTCTAATGTTAGCTTTGCCAAAAAAAATTCAGATATAACCAATCAAAAAGATATCATTTTGATTCTACTAATGTTCTTACTAATATTTATGTCAATTGATTAATAACGAATGATGAAATATTTTACTTATCAATGTGTGTAATAAGATTTTATAATTTATACAATTTTAATTTTATGGCTTAAATTATATTATGTATTATTTCACTTATGATTTTAGTATGTATTGGTAGTGAATTCTGAGTAATATCTATCATAGCGAGAAAAGACATACTAAAGACATACAATTTTTAACCCTGCATTGTTTTTGCTAATTATGGTTTTTTTTTTAAATACTTGATTATTAGTTGATATTATTTATAAACATTAAAAGTCAACCCATTTGCTGTTCGATGAAAATATTGTAGGTGTCTTAATATCTATCTAAATTGTTTACTTAATTTCAATAAATAAAATAATAAAATTAATTTTAATATTTTCAGAGAAATATATGATCGAATTTTCATATATATTCAGTAAAAAATATCTAGCACAGTGTTTCTCAACATAGGGGTCACGTTGGTCAGAAATAACTAAACTCTGATGTAAAAAAACAACCTTTTATTTACATTCAAATTACAAAATTAATACATAACCATTATGATAATAATAAAGTTATTTTATAACATTACTTACATTATAAACTATGAATAATAAAGCAAAAAGTATAAATTAATGGAATAAATGTGATTATTTTCTTATGATGACAAACGTATTTCGTATTTATTTTTTAATCCCATTACGGAAGAGAAGTCTTTTTTTTCATTGATAAGAAATCGCGAACGGAACCAATGTTTTCAATTCTGCTTTTTCTCTTGCTAGATTTCTGTATAGAATTGTTCTAATGGTTGTGGTATTTTGATTAATAATATCCGACGCAAATCTGATCTTAAACAATATTTGGCTAATATGTGTTTTAAGTCCACTCTCAATTTCATTGTGTGATGTGTCATAAGAAGTTCAAACAGAAGCTTTCGTTACGATATCACATATAAGTTATTCATCATAGGACTCGGGATTCCTAGAAGTTTGTATGTTTTTAAATAATCATCAAAAACATAGCTAAATAATATAGAAATTTGTTTCATAGCAATATAAGTTTATATTTAAAATTTATAGTTGCATATTTTGTATATTTGACTATTTTTCATTTTATAAGTGCATATTTGACAATTATTTATGTGAAGGAGTAAGTTTTTTAACTTTATAAGAAAAAATTATACGATAATTTATTTCTTCATCTATCACTCGACTTGAAACCCAAGGTGTGGCACTAACTGAAGCCATTCAAATAATTAAAACTACAAAAGAACATATACAATCTGCAAAAATTGAAAGATTTGCTCAAGCTAAGGCAATTTATGACAAAAATAAAAAAGTTTTGGAGAAAAAGGTTGGATTTGATTAACTACAAAAAATATCGAACATTTTAAGCGGAAAATTGACGGTTGCCTACAGATATTAGTAGTAGTGATCTACCATTTTTTAAGTTTGCACTTCCGTAAACGTGGAACGTTTATTTTTTAAGTATAAAAATATTTTGGCTGATAATAGGTGGTCATTTAAATTTCGCAATTTAATAAAATATCTTATAGTCCAATGTAATGTTCAAGGTAAATAGTACTATATTAAAAATAGAAAAAATGTTTTCAATTTAATTCACTTTTAAAACAATTATAAATTTGTTGTTTTAGACAAAAACTCAATATAAGATGAGAACAAGTTTGAAAAAAAGAAAATAATTATATCAGATCATCATCTATCTAACATATCATATCTAAAAATATTATTATTATTTATTGCTAATTAATTGTTTTTATTTAATTAATTATTACAAATATAATTTTTTTTTAAATGCATATTTTAATAGCATATTTATTGATTCTTTGTAGCATAAATGCATACAATTTTTTAAGGTTTTTAAGGGCATGAAGTCCTTATCCCTATAATTATTAATAGTTTCATATTCTTAACAAAATTGAATAGTCTGGTTTTTAATTTGAGCATTTGAAACTGATGTTTGGGTACATTGATTATCGAATTATGTGCAAAGCAATAATTTGACTTCTAATTGCTACACGTATTATGGCTTTAAAATTCCTAAATAAATTATATGATTCGAAGTATACTACATTCATTTTTTATTCTTGGTTTAATATCAACATTGTAATACAATTATATCACTGTATTTTCAGAAGATAACATAAACGAATTATTAGATGTGGCTATTGAATATGATCCGGCATTCTGCCCAAATGGTTGTGGTTGTTCGTACATAGGCACGGGACGTAAGAATAATCTCAAAAAACATATGATTAATACTTGTGGTGTTAATAACAAATTCCAATGTAAACTATGTAAAAAACAGCTCAGGCAAAAGCGATCGTTACAATATCATATGGCAACTGCTCACAGAACATTTTTTTAAAGATTATTTACTTAATTGTTGTATGTTATTTAGATTTTAATTTATAATTAATTTTGTTTGTCGATACGCTAAATCTTGTGGTACTATTACCTATATTACCATGTGTGTTCACTTTTAGTCTTAACTCATTATTTTGTACATAGCGCAATAAAATTAAATAAAAACTTACATTTATAAAACCTTATTAAAATAATATTATTTATATTGCCACGTTTGTTCCTTTTATGTCCTTACTTATTATCTTGTTTATAGTGCATTAAAGTGTAATAAAAACTTACAGTTATAATACATTATACATAAAATAAAACTAAATCCTTTTTGGCTTGATGGCTGTGTACCTATTTTGATGTTTTCAAATTATGTATATGAAGATAAATATTTGTTTCATAGTATACGATGGTTTTAGGTTTTGACATTTTTTTTTTGGAAGTATAATTTTAGTAGTATATTGATGTGGTAATAATAGCTAAGTAACCTTTACTTTGTTTGTAACAATATGCTTTTGGATATTATATACTAAAAAAAAAATTGACATTATTCATCTTCTGTGTTATATTATACCCTCATTAAATAATATAATTGAATTAATATTTTCAGAGATAACATGATCGAATTATTATACTTGGCTTGTAAGTATGAATCCAACGTTCTGTCCTAACTGTTGTGGCCGTTCGTATAAAGGTGCCAGACGAAAGAACACGTTTAAACAGTATTTGATCTATGCGTGTATTTTTTTTGTCGAAATTTGAATGTACACTTTGTTTTAAGAAATTTGTTCGTAAATATTCATTAATAACTCATAGTCAGTGTCGTATTTAGACATTTTGCGCCCCGGAGCAAAAAAAAAAAAAAAATTGGCGTCCTTCTAAGGAGCTTACCCATAGGAGATAGATCCTCATGAGCCTTTTAGATATTCTAAAATTAATGATATTTTTGTCTAGTAGGCACGCCACTGCACGTTGCACGCAATAACAATAAATTTGGAAACTAATATTAGGTATATTAATAATATTCTGGATCGCTGATAGCTATATTGCTATCAATACATTAATAATCTATATTATAATAATAAATTGAATATATTAACATTAATTTATGATATTGTTATTAAAAACAAAAAAATAATGATTTCAAAATAATTTTAAAAGTTCAATAATTCACAAGTGAGCAAATTTCTGACCACTATATTTTGGCACCCGGGGAAGTTGTAGCCAGTGCCCCCCCCCCTTAAATGAGGCCCTGCTTATAGTATATGTGTACACAAACAACGCATGCCTTAAATTGTTTACTTAAATATGTATGACACTGCCCTTGTATCCATCTACATTATTATGTTAGATACAAATGAATTATACATAAAGTTACGAGATTTTTGTATAAAAGATAATGAAGACATTATATAAATTATTTTAATCATAGTAATTATATAATTACTATCTCAATTTTATCATATCATTATTACAGTTATGTACAAATTTTTCTATATTCGAGATACAAGATTTATAGACACTTATTTGCAAAAGTGTAAGTTTCAACTCAATAATACTGCATTTCTTTGACAAATTAAATATACCTGTACTCGTATATGTACATTTTTTACATCATATCACTATTATATTTACTAATTCATTTTTTATATATCTTATAATACGTTAAAACATCTATTGACAAACATAATCGTATGTTCAATTATGATAATAATTTATAGTCCATAAAATAATAATATATTAATACGTTAGTTTTAGTTGTAAAAATATTTTGTTTTCGACATATTTTATATCATCATGTATCATCACATGATTCCTTTTTGAAATTAGTATATTAAACATTTATTTAAATTGATACTATTCAATCGAATGATAATTATAATAACAATATTGCTTTTGTATAAAATGTGAATTTGCTCTTATTTCACCAATTACAATTAATTTTTCCTCGTTGATTTCTGTGTTACAACTTGTCTTATAATTTTCATAGATTATACAGTTTCCTGTTACAACATAAATATTTCTATATTTCATACAAAAAAAATTCTTTATATGAATCAATATTTATTTTATATTGTTATTTTCAGAATCATCTAGCACCTAGTTAACTCAACTTGATGAACTCGGGCAGTTAGATCCAGCTTACTGTCCAAATTGTAAAAAAAAATGTACAAAGGTTAATATAGAAAATGTCACCTTAGACAACATCTGGTGTATGAATTTGGTGTTCTAATAAAATTCAGATGTTATTTATGTTCAAAATGTTTCGTCAGAAATTGGGACCTAAAATGTCATTCAATTAAAATTCATAAAGTATTAATTTCTTAATCAATATTTTACTATTGAATAAATAATATGTCTAAAACAAACAGCTATTATTTTCAAGGAGTTTTATTACTTCTAAGTTTTTTTATTCCGTTTTTATTTATATATTTGATGGTGTTCATTTTATAATATAAATAGTATAAGTATTTTATAAATATGTACAAAAAAAAAAAAAAAATTAAAAATATTTAACTGTAAATAGATACACATTTATAAGTATAAAAAGGAAATATATTTATGATTACAAAATCACAACAAATTTACGTACTTTGCGTACTTAAATTATATGTACATATGTGGTTATTAAAAATAAAAATCTCCCTTGAAAATTTAATTATAATAATAATAATTATTTTATATATCTTATCAGATTATTTTTCATTATACTTTTTTGTACTGTAAAGACGAACTACAAAATGAAAACAGATGTGGCTTAAGAATTAAAGAAATTTTAGAATCTACTTCTACAGGATACTGAAATAATTTTTAAAAAATATTCAAGTTACCAACCACTATTTTCAATCAATATTTTAATTAAATTATATTCATTTATTTTTACAAATGGTAACTGTTTATAAATGATTCTGCATATTATACTATTATATGAGAATAGATATTTATTTACTTTCATATTTTTTGTACTCTTATAAGTTCATAATTTATAGAATAACTACAAACCCCTCAAATGTACGTTTTTGTGGTATTTAAATAATTAATATTTTTTTCTTCTAAAAAATTAATATATAAATAATTTCTGCGCTAGTACGTAGTAGGTAAGCCAGATTATTTATAAGAATTTTTTATAATTCCATTGTTAAAAATATGTTTTATTTACATTTCTACGATTCGAGATCCTCAAGTATTTTAATTTATTTTACATAAATTGCGTTAACTTATCATTACACGTTTGTTAAGACGATTTCCCTCTTTTCGAATATATGTTATTGTTATTCGAATATTATTATTTTTCATTTTAGGAAATATTTTGAAGTACTTATGCCTTAATTTCTGGTAAATGATCAAATATGAATACCGCTATCAATTTTTAATGTAGTATTCTTCAGAAATTACGATATGCACAATATGTAAACTATTTTACCATAAATATACAAGCGAATATCACATGGGATATAAAAATATATTTTTCAAGTAATTAATTAAAAATATATTTTAAATTAAATTGGAACCTAACGCAATTATTCTATACTTTTATCAATCATGAAAAATAAACTCTCGCTATTAAATGATTATGAACATTTTCAATATTTGCTTATTTTATATTATTTTTAATTTTTAAATTGTGTTTGTTTTGTACCGTAAAAAAAATAACTATTTAGTATAAATCAAATACATTGATAGTAGTTTATACCGTTTCAAACTTTCGATGGCTATATAATACGAATGTGTTATCTGAACAGGTAAAACAATGAACGAGCTATTAGACTGGTGTTCGATGCCAGATCCGGCGATTTGTCCAAATAGCTGCGGTCACTTCTACAAAGGGATCAACCGGAAAAAGTTGTTGCGCAGACACATGGTTTACGAATGCGGTACTCCATCCAAGTTTGAATGTCCCATATGCACAAAACGTTTTACAAGGAAATCGAACATGAAAACGCATGTATATTCAGTGCACCGCACAATTATTACGCATTAGTGCCAAACAACTGATAAAAATCTCTTTCTTGCCATATAATTCTTTAGATTTAAGTACAAAGAATTTTCTTACGATAAAAATATTACCATTTATGCACTCTGACATCGTCTATAACTCAAAGTTGAACTGACCTCTCAAAGTTAATTTGTCCTTTCTACAATTATATGATAATTATACATATTAAAATAAATTATTCTCATTCATAATACTTTTTATATTAAATTAATTGAATTGTATACATTAATATTAAATTATTAAATTTTGAAAGTTGAACTACGTGAGTGTCATAATAGTTCAATAGTCTAACTAGTACTATTTATTCAACTTAAAAAAATACATTTATATTTTTTTATAAAACTTGAAAATTATGGTTTGTATAATAATATTGTTTTGAAGTAGATTTTTAATGATTTTATTGTTAATTAGTTTAATAGAAGATAGTTATATTAGGTACTTTTAGGTATTTATTATCATCATTGTTTTCAAATAAAAATTTTTGTTATAAATGATTCATGAATTAGGAACATTGATTTTATAATACGATTATACGGTATTATTGTATGTTATAAAATCAATGGTAATTATGTGAAATAACTTATTATAATTACAGTAAAATCTTAAGGGACATTTAAATGTTTCTGATGTTTTAATAAAGAAATTCAAAGTTTGTTTAATTTGATATAAATTGAATTTTACAAATCACAATACTTTATTGATAGTGTTTCAATGGAACAGATTGTAACTCTTTATAGATTTCTGTTAAATGAAAGTATCGTTTATGGTTATTGATTAATAATATTTTATATTTATGATTTTCTAACACGTGTTTTTTTTTTTTTTTTTTAGATCAATTAATGAGAATATCTATTCAATCTACAATCATGTGAATTTTTCTAATCAAGCATGCGAATGAAGATGTTTTAAATACATTTATCCTGTATCGTGCAATATATGAATATACAAAGTTAAATTAGGGTTATCTCTGTCCTGGTATTCCGGAATGAAGTATTAATTATTGATAAATAAATATTGCTGTGAACACGTAGTGACCGGCGAAAATGGATCTTTTATTATTAGTTCTACATTTCTATGCCCTTAACAATTACGCATTCTTAATCTTTTTTAATCTTCATGAATAAAAAAAAAAAAAAAAAAACCATTTTAATATGTCCCGATTTGGTTCTTCAAAACCTATCTACTCTAATTCAAACTAAATTTACTAGGAAAATCTAATGTTAATAGTTCATAAATGGAAAACAATAATGTTTGCAAATAACCTCAGGTTACTCCATAGACTGATGACGGCACGTGCTACAATGTAAACATGCATCATGTATCACAAATCACGTGAGTGCTGATCATGTCCTTGGACCTATACATAAAATAATAATTTCTCTACGATCTTTAGGCAGTAAAATTATATTAGGCAAGATAAAATCATTCAGAATAAAATATTCTTCATATTTTTATTTTATTTTTTAAATAGAACTCCAATAACGATGAATTTATTTTAAAAGTTAAACTTAAAATTAATTTAAATGCTACATCACAGATAATGATCTCTTTAAAACAAATCAAAATAAAACCCTTTGTTTTGAATATACACTGCATGATTGTGTTTCGCGTATGATGTATTTTTAAGCTGAAATTACTTATTAAGTGTGTTACGTCCACTTAATAATAAATATTTGTGGTGTTCAATAAATTATTACTTCCAGCGAAGTTCCTAAAGTTGTAAGAAAATTATTGTAAATACATTGAAAATGTGGAAATTTTCATATATTTTTAATTATAATAATCTTCTTATAATTTTAGAATTTATAATACTTTATCATTTAATTTTAAAATAAATTATTATTTTGTGAAACGTTAGAATAATGTAGTGTTTTATTATTTTTTATATTTAATATAATGCAATTATTAAAATTATTTAATCTAATTATAAATAATATAAATACATAATATTGCGATATGGTTTAAATAACTTGAATATTTTGAAATTTAGTTAACTTTTATAATATAGTATTCAAAAGTTATGGTTATTTGTAATGCAAATTATTTAAGGTAGCTCACCGCTCACAAGTATAATAGTATTTACTATTGGGTAATTGAGGTAATATCTTTCTAAAGTTGATTTCTTTTGTTTTTATCTTTTGCTTTTATGCACGTATGTGTATGATATTCAGACTATATGTATTCACTAACTCATTAAATCTTTGAATTATTATTTTAGGTTATTGGTTAGCAAATTTGGATTTCCTTGCAAAAGAAGACCCAGCAAAATGTCCGAAAAATTGTGGTCGTAGTTATAAAGGTACTCATAGAAAGAAAGTTCTACGACGTCATTTAGTGTACGAATGTGGCGTGGAACGAAAATTCATGTGCAATATTTGTTTTAGACGTTTTTCACAAAAATACTATTTATCTACTCACATGGGTACGGTGCATAGGATGCCGATGAATTAACATATTTTATTAATTTTATAATTATTTTTTCAAGTATTATTATTTATAATATTTATTTAATTAAAAAAAAACTGATGTTAACAAACACACACACACATAACATATATATTATAAAATACATCAATACTACCTATAATAATACTTATCAACCAAATTACTTATAACTTAGTACTTTAACAGTACCCAATTTTAAAACTTTATTATGAATCATTAAAATGTTTTCAAAATGGTAATGAATTATCTTCTTATATCTGACATTTAGATCTAGACAATTACAATAATTTGTTTTTTTAATAAGCATTATTTTTATACACCCAATAACTATATTTACAACCCACAACATATAGTTTGATTAGTGATTGTTATGTTATAAATGTCTTAAATTATGTTTTGTAAAAAAATATTTCTCATTTTAGTATATGTGTACATTGTATTTTTCTGTCATGAATTATATGTATAAATTTGTTAGTTGTGAATTTACAGTACCTGTCTGAATTAAAATTGTTTCTCTTGGCTTTTGGTTATTTTTTATTTATGAAACTAATTGTTATAAAATAATTTTAAAAATGTAGTTGTACAACAAGTTCTTACAAAAGTGTAAACAATAACTACAATTATTTATCATCAATAATTGTATGTATGGTATCTATAATTATTATAGTTTTATGTTTATTATTTTATTATTCAGTAAAAATGTTTTTTTCTTATACATAGATCATATGACATCAACTGCGTATATATATTACTGAACACATAATGGTAAATCATCAAATATTTGATATATTATGTTTTTTCTTCCTGTATTATATTCCAATATCTGTAATAGAACATGTTCTTACATATATGTTATGAAGGTAATTAGTTAAAACATCTATTTAAATTGTTATGGAATTTCTTTTAGCTGTCTTGTTGTTTACAATTTATACTGAAATTATTTAATATTTTTATATAGATCCCTTGTACATGATATTATTGAATTATTTAATTTCAACAATTATTTACTCTAGATTCATAACTAATTTTGTAAAATATATTTTTGGAATATTTTAATGTGGATCAACTATATTAAAAGTAAGTTTGTTGATGTCACATTAATGATTAAAAATTTGTTGTGTCGACTCGACTTTAAAGTACTAATTTTTTTTTAATTTAAAAAGTTTATTATTAAATTGAATATTGTATATCTTACTGTGTTAAGGTTTACTATGTACATTTAAGTGGTATGAATTTTATTTTTAGGTTATAACTAAAAGCAGCATTATATGTTAAAATTTGGTGTTCAAACACAATAACTATTTTAAAGCTTACAAAAGTCTAAAGGTATTTAAAAGGTATTTCTTACATTAATATAAAATAAAACCATAAATTTAATATTACATTTATTCAAAAATGATTCCGTTCTATTGAAGCTGTAAAATAATTTTAGATATTCTTTGATCAACCATTAATTTAACCATATTTATCAACTAATAATTATGATGTTACCAATATTAAATATGTGTATTACTTGGAAATTTTTAAGTTAAAGATATTTAAGCTACACTATAGATGAGTTTATCTAAAAATATCCATTTCAGATTTTAATTTATTAAATTAACATAAATTATGTTTATAGATCACTATAGTATGGAAAAGCTTATTGGATCCATGTTCAAGCAATTGTGGTCACAGTTATACAGGAACTTACAGTGAAAAATATCTCAAAAACAATTTCATCATGAATTATATATAAGTTCATAAATCTGTTTTGTCCTTAAATTATTAAAATATCATAAAATGTATATGTGATTTTTTTTTTTCATTCAACCAGCTGGACCTTTAGCTTTAAATTATAATATTATACTATTTGAAATTATCCTTAATACTATGTGTATTTACATTTATAATAAAATTGAATAGTACTTTTACAATGATTATTTATTATTTAAAAACATTATTATATCTAACTGTAAAATAACATGAAATATTTTGTTTCTTGGAGATGGTCTTAAGTAAAAATGCTTATATATAATGCTATGATCGCCATGTTTCTTATATTTTCCTGTTATCTATAAGTTATTAAAATATCTGCTTTTTAAGCTACATTTATATTTTGATTATGAAACTGTTGTATTTATTAACAATTATTTTTATAGTAGAGATCCATAATGATCCATTGATATATTTTGATGAACAAGACCAGCATATTCCAAGCGTAGTTGATAGAAATGAAAAGGGAAGAAAGAAACTTCGAAGATGTCAACTATGTGCATTATCTGGAAGAGGTCGAAAAAGAACCCATGTTTTTTGCGCTGCTTGCCCTGGTCAACCTGGTCTTTGTGTTGACACGTGCTTTAAAGAATTTCATAAACCATAATTTAATGACGATTGTATACATGACAATATTTCATACTTTTTAAACCTATTATTATGTGTTTTAATATTAATAATTTTAAAATAATTTGTTATTACGTTGAAAAATCAAATGAGATTATTATAAGTATCACTTTGTATAATCTTTAATTTTTCAAAAATCACAACCACTAAAAAAAAATTCAACATTCCATGTAATTATACTACCATGCTTGTTACCTGCATTAATTGAAACTAATAAATTTATATTTGTCTCCTATATTTATTTTAAAAAATATGTATAGTTTTATCTATTTCAATGTAAAATCATTTTCTCATGTATATATTTATTATATTTATATTTATATTTATTCTATTAAAAGTAAAATTGAAGTCTCT